TGAAAAATCCTTAGTGTGGATAGCTAAGGTAGTGGACGTAGACTTTGTTTGAGAAAGTCGAACCACTGTAAATCGCTGTGCAATTATTTTCAATTTTTCTGCAAAAGCTTCCACGAAATTTTTAATTGCCAATTCACCCCCCTCTTGGCCGATTCTGTCGATCGATTAACTCAACAGAGACCAAGTCTTCAAAACCCAATCTGTTCGGAGGCTTTATATTCGTCCGTCTCACCCTATCTTTGGCGAGACTATAATCCTGCAAATCATCCGTAGCGGAACCACCAGAAGTCGGTTGATAAGTTTTTGTTTTCTCAACTAGAAACTGCTTGAAATCCACTACTGTCGTGTCTTTCTTCTGCTGCAACATGTGTTGTTCATCAAAAACAATCTCTACTGATCACAATTTTCTTCGCAACTGGATCCCAGAACTTGAATCCTTTGACACCTTTCTTGTAATCCAGAAAAATGCACTCCTTCAATTTTGCATCAAGTTTGGATCTCTCATCAGTAGGTACATACACATAAGCAGAACAACCAAAAATTCGTAAGTGATCAAAACTAACATCATGACCAGTCCATACCTCTTTTGCAACTTTCCCAGCTAATGATGCCCTTGGCGATCTGTTGATAAGATAACATGCCATGTTAACAGCCTCAACCCAGAAGTGTTTGGGAAGCCCTGTATTCAACCGCAAACATCTGGCTCTTTCATTCAACGACCTGTTCATCCGTTCCGCAACACCATTCTATTGTGGTGTCTTGCGCACTGTAAAATGCCTCTTAATCCCATGCTCCTTACATAAGTGTAGAAACTGTGAATCTGTGTACTCCGTACCATTGTCAGATCGCAAACACTTGATTTTTCGTCCTGTTTGGTTTTCTACCTCAGCTTTCCACAGCTTGAACTTCTCAAAAACGTCAGACTTCTGTTTCAAAAAGTACACCCAAACTTTCCGTGAAAAATCATCAATAAAGTAACATAATACCTACATCCACCCAAAGGCGATGTCGTGGAAGGCCCATATACATCAGAATGCACATAATCAAGAATCCCTTGAGTTGTGTGCTTCGTAGTCTTGAAACGGACTTTAGTCTGTTTACCAAAAACATAATACTTGCAAAAATCGAGCTTACAACTTTTGACACCATGCAACAAATTTCTTTTGTGTAATTCTGCCATACCACGTTCACTAAGATTAGCAAGACGCATATGCCACAATTTTATAGTATCATCACAGGACTCAACAGAATGAACTCCACCTACAACGGTACTCCCTAACAATCTGTAAATATTTCCTGCAGTCATCTTTCCTTTCATCACAGTCAAAGCTCCTTTAACAATCCGAATGATTTCCCTATCCTCATCAGCCTTAGGGATAAAACCATTCTTGCGTAAAGTGCCCAAAGAAATCAAATTCTTCTTTAAATTTGGGATATGTCGAACACCACTCAACGTCCGAATAGAGCCATCATACATCTTAATTATGACATCACCAATACCAACAATATTGCAACTTCGATCATCACCCAAATAAACAGAACCAGAATTGACCGACCTGTATATCGAAAACCATTCCCTATTTGGCGTGATGTGATAAGAACATCTAGAATCAAGAATCCAAACATCCGTCAATTGAGTCGTTGAAATAGAGAGCATATAACCCTCACTGCAATCAGAATTTTCATCCTCGACCACATTCATAGACTTGGATGAGTCATCACGCTTCTCATCAATCTGTTTTTTCAACTTCGGACAGTCTCGCTTCATATGTCCTGCCTCCTTGCACTTGTAACAGTGAATTGTCTTCTTATCCCTAGATTTGGATCTGAAATTCTGCTTCCCAGATCTTGCCTTCTCTGGCTTCCGTCCACGGTCTCGATTACCATTGACATATAAGCTATCAGCTTGAGAGCTTTCCCCTACATTCTACTTCCGCTGGTTGTGAGCCAACAAGGCTGCAGTAATCTCCTCAACGTTGATAGTCTCTTTCCCATATGTAAGAGTAGTCACCATGTGTTTGTAAGAGGGAGGCAACGAACACAACATAATCATCGCTCTGTCTTCATCCTCAATTTTCACATCAAGCTGAGCCAAATCAGAAACGATTTGATTGAAGACATTCACGTGTTGCGCCAAATCATGATCGCCATGCATCTTCAGCCCATACAACTGCTGCTTTAGGTACAGTTTTGTCGTTAAGGATTTGGACATAAACTGACTTTCCAACTTCCTCCAAATTTTGTCTGGAGACGACAGATGCATGACGTGATACATGACCTCGTCCGCCAAGCATAATCGTATGGTTCTTGTCGCTCGCTGTTGTAATTCTTCCCAATCTTCCTCCTCCATCGACGTCGGCTTTGTAGGTCGCAAAGCCTTCAGGATCCCTTGCTGCGCCAACAGATCCTTCACCCTTGTTTGCCATAATCCGAAGTTACTCTGACCATCGAATTTGCAACCTCGAATTTTGCTCCTGACATCTCTAATACCAATTGTTGACGAAACGAGTAAAGAAAACGAAAGAACACAAGACTTTCTTTGTAAGGACAGTTGATATCGCTGCGTTCGCTCACTCCGCTCCATCCCATGTCCTCTTTACCGGTATATTTATGAGTCATACCTAACACTATAGTAGTCCCTGCTATAACAACAACCACAAGAACTACGACACCAATAACTATTTTGACATTTATGGCTGTATTGCCGCTTGTTTCCTCTTTCACTGTTAAACTTGAACTGAATTCCCAAGAATGGAGTGTATGCGACTCTACATGCTGACCTGTCGTAGCTGAAAATCCAACCATGATCCACTCAGGTAAAACCTTCATCAGATCGATTTGGTATGAAAGACTACAATTTTCTCGAGGATTATTGATCATCTGATAGCTCCAAGAAACAATCAAGTTGTTAATAGTAGCATTGTAGTCGATGACTACATCTGTCATATCTCTATTATGAAAGCTAGCATTCCATCCAGTATAGTTTGCTGACGCAATTGAGTTTTCGTTGATCCCAACATGGCTACCAACACCGGTTGGATCCCATTCAGGATTTTCAAACGTGTCGAACTCAACAAGAACAATTTGGTTCTGAGATGAATCACTGGTTGTTGTGTTAAATAATCCCAAAAAGCCACCAGCTGAGTTCAGTGGGACTTGAAAGCCAACAGGGGCAAGAAAGAAGGCAAGACCATGACCATAAAATGAACTTTGCATAGAAATATCAAAGGAGAAGCGGGTGTTGAAGTCGGCGAGCCGTTGTGTTCTTGATTCCCAGAGTGGCACCTTCTCGACATATGTTACCCGTCCAACTCGGTTTATATAGTTATCAAGGTTAAACTCAATGGCTCCAACCGAAGGTTTCGCATCACCTTGATAGAAAATGTTGCTTGCATTTGAATCAAACCGTGATATCTGAAAGTTTATTGAATTGACAAAGGGAAGAGTGGAAAGAAATGGAATCAGAAGCGAGAATTTAAGCAAGTTGATTATCCCAGTCGCCATGGAAAAGGAGAAGTAAGGAGAGATAATGCAGCCAGGCAGCTGATAAAAGACAAGTCCAACATATAAAATCCGCAAATGAAGCAATTAATAGTTAACTTGACGATCAAGTTATAAACAGAAAAAGTTGAATTTGTGAACCTATTGGAATATCGAAAGATCTCTCTTCCAAAGGAAAAGAATAAGTAATTGAGACTTTTTGTTTTCAGCATTTTAAATTATGTGCTATTGAATTTGTTTAGGACTGGGTTCAATTAAACTACAATATTTATTTATTAAATATGTTTTATCCCCAAGCCCTTCAAGTTTTAAGATGTGAATCAATCATTGACATAGCATATAGTTGGATCTATTATCAGGATTTGTGTAAAATAAAAGATTATTACGTATTGGTTAAAATTTTAATTGATAATTAAATTAGATTTTATTATAATTATAATGGTTAAAGATTCTTTGGTGGTTAAATTTTAAATAATAATTCTTGTGAAATAAAAGTTCTTAGGGACCAATTTTGTTTTATCTACAAATATAGAGTTATTTTTAAACCTTAAAATTATGAAAGAAAATTATTTCGAATAAATTTCATTATCTATATAACTATTAGGGTCTATGTTGTAAGGATGAATTATGTAAGAGTGTTGGGTAAGTGTTTTAGAATATGTTGAATTTGTAATATATATATATATATATGGGTTAGGATCTACTTACATAATGTAAAACTGACACAGATTTAAAATCGTTGGATGAGTAAAAATAAATGTTGAGATAATTATATCTTCTTATATATATCGAGTGAATATCTTGCAATATATATATCGATTACTGTGGTATAAATGATTACATATCTTTTTACTTTTTGTGATTTTAAATTTATAATAAATTATTCTGATTCTCATCCGTAAAATTAAACAGACTATATAGGTTTATTTCATGTTAATCTCATATTTTTTTTTCATTTACATATCCTTAACGATTCAAGAATTGAGACTGTAAAAACATGAACATTCAAGGAAGGAATCATTCATCTCGCCCTGTCTTCTTGTTTATCAACCCATCTTAACATTTAACCATGTTTTACAGACAAGAACAAGATAGGACACAAGTCTCGAATGCCATTTCCTGCCTTTTATGGCTAAAATTAGTGGTTTTATAAATTAATTTATTCATTTCCATATTTCAAGTACGCACACGAGTGGCATTGCAGCCCTCTCCTGTCTTGTTTCTCCTATCTGCCTGCATACTTGCAAAGTAACCTCTTTCCTTGTCTTGCCTGAAACTTGTATTCTTCTACTAGTTCTCTCTCTCATAATAGAAATTAATAAAAGTTTAGCACGAGAGGCCCTCGAATCTTGTCCCTTATACGCCATATCTCAGCCTGATATGCAGGATCATTTTTTGTATGAGAAGGAGACAAGGGCCACAGTGCCACTCGTGCACAATAATTAAGCAAATGTGTTTTCTTTAAACAAATGTGTTAGGTCTTCATCTTCGTTGTCATTATGGTGTGGTACATTGGGCGTGGGGCAGACATTGAGCAAACATCGGCAGCGGAAATTTTCGAAATCCAGATCAGTATCACGTTAGTATTCATGGAGATTTGCAAATGAGATTCCTTTTTTCTCCCCCGGTGCCTTTATACATGATCATAGCTTGATGGGAAAGCTGCATTCACCATTGAGCCTTTAGCCTTTTGATCTTTGAATGATGGATTCTTCAGCTTTGAACCAGAAACCCAATTTCCATGCTCGTTCAAACAGCTTGCCTTCAAGACCTCATCCACATTCCTCAAATAGATGAGCTTTTATGCAGGCTAAGATCTAACGAAGCCGCTTCTTCTTCGTCGTGGATTACCGATAAACTAAATGGTCTTAGAGATCTGTACAAGTTGGTTCATAGTTTCCTTCAATTGCCTAACACGCGGAATTCCCTAGCCCAAAACTGCAAAGACAATGAGTTGTTGAATGGATCTGTTAGGCTATTAGATGTGTGTGGCTTAGCCAAAGATGCTTTGTTGCAGGCCAAGGATGATACCCAACAATTTCAATCGGTTCTCCCAAGAAGAAGAAGCGACGATGCCGGGTTCGCAAATGAAGCCAAGGCATACTTAGCATCAAGGAAGAAAGCAAACAAGTCTTTGAGAGATTTAAAGATCAGTAAATGTGGCTTTGCCGATGTTGAAGCTACAATTAGCATGTTAAGAGATGTTGGAGTTACTTTCACGGTGCTCCAATCGGTTCTTTCCTATATAACCGCGTCGATGCCGGAACCGAAATCGACCGGCTGGTCTTTGGTGTCAAAGTTGATGCAGTCGAAGCGCTTAACATGAGAGCGACAAGCTTCGTCGGCGATCAACGAATTCGAGAGAGTGAATGCAATTTTATGCAGTCTCATTGGTTCTAAGACAGACACTGAGAATGCACAGAATGAGTTGCAGAAACTTGAGTCAAGCATTGAAGACGTGGAAGAAGGAGTAGAACGCCTGATTAGGGTTTTGATTAAAACTAGAGCTTCCATTCTCAACATCCTCAGCCATTAACTGCTTCATAATATAGCAGATGGTTAACAATTTTTATGTACATTCCTTGTATCAAAATCTACATGTATACTTCATCTAATCCTACAAGAATACAGTTTTCATGAATAATTCTAAACCTTGGTCGATGTTGGTGGAGGTAATGGGACTGCTTTGAGTCTTTTTGTTAAGGAATTCCCATGGATTCGAGGCATCAACTTCGATCTCCCTCATGTTTTCTCTGTTGCGCCAACATTTAACGGCAGAAATATAACATATATACCTCGAAAAAGTCTAAAACACAACTGGTTAATGTAAGGTTAAAAAACAGAAAAAATCAATTGTAATAAAAAATATTATCAATAGTGTAACTTTTTAGGTTAGACAATGTAACTTTTAAGGTTAAATCGAAAATGTTATTTTCTCCATAATATTTTTTGTTGTACCTAAAATTATTAAAAAATATATAACTTTTTCGATTGTAAATTTTAAAACCGCCACAACGTAACTTTTTCAGTTACAATCGAAAATATTATAAATTTATCTATTCTTTTAGTTTAATAATAATATTTTAAATTAAAAATCGTTTTAAATTAATTGTCACACAAAAAACCACTCATCTAACACTACATAAAACCTTGTTTTGTGTAAGTGATGTCTGTTTTGTATCGACCTTGCTCTTATGTTTGCTCTCTTAATTGTTAAAATAAACATTTTATTTAACCAATATTTGATACTTAATATATTTTTTAAAAATTTCTTTTATTTTATTTTTAAGAAAACTAAAATAATTATTATTAAAAAATCTCTAAATCACTCAAATTTATAAATATTCTAAATATATAAACTTCAAATTTCTAAATCTCATATGTTACAGTCAAATTAGTCATCATTAGTCACCTCTTTCATTGTCAGACTCCCACCTATTAGTCATCCTCTTATTGTCACACACGATTGTTCCAAACAGAATAATCACAACACATAATTGCTAATCATGTCGCATGAGATCGCTTTATTTTCACCCAACAATCGCATGTTCGTCACCGTTTGTAAGAGTACTCTGTTGCATGAACTAAATCTGAGTTACTTGAACCTTTGCACCGCACCTGATCTTCAAGTGTTTAAGAGGATTTAGAGATTTGAGATTTTTTTTAAGAAATTATAGAATTTAGATCTTTTAGAAAAATTTGAAATTTAGTGTATTTTTAATTTTTTTTAGAAAATTGATATTGATCAGAAATTAATATCTCGTGTAAAATAATTTTGGTTGACCAGATTTTTTTAATGACAGTTGACGATATAATTTTAAAGTAATAACATAATGAAATTTTAGATACCTTAAATGAGATAATATTACTTAAATATTATATTTGGGTTTTTGAACACATACTTTGATAAATAAATATATAATTTTTTTGAACAATTCTTATCTAGGAGAGGGATAAAGAAATTTTTTATCATAATGAGTATTGAACTCACAACTTAAGAGAGAAAAAACGTGTTAATCGAAAGCTTTTAACCACATATTCTAATGATTATTAACTTAATAAAAAAAACTTTAAACATCTAAAACAAATAAAAATATATATATAATTTACCAACCGAGATTGGTTCAAGTGGTGAGTAGTTTGATATCGCTTAAGTAAAATTTCGAATTCGAATTCCAAATCCAAAATAGGCAAGTCTTTCCTCCTATAAATCGGATTTTCTTTCAATAGAACTATATATTGTCAAGATTGTGCTAAAAAATTACCGAGAGTTCAAAAAAGAGAACAAAGATTGAGATGGGAGATATGGAAGCTCGAGCAGAAGTAGACATTTGGAGTTATGTCTTCGGATATACAAAAACGGCCGCCGTTAAATGTGCTATTGAGCTTGGGGTTGCCGATGTTATAGAAAACCATGGAAGCCCCATGCCACTTTCCCAGTTAGCCGCCGCCCTCCGATATGTACCATCACGTCTTCAACGCATCATGAGGTTCCTGGTCCATTATCAAGTATTCAAAGAAGAACCTATTGGCCAACACTCAATGGGCTTCTCATTGACGCCATTGTCTCGTCGTTTGATAAAACATGGAGAAAAAACCATAGTGCCTTTTATACTGCTAATGTCCAGCCCTATCATGTTAGGGCCATGGCATAGTCTCAGTGCTCGAGTCCTCCAGAGAGGGAATATTTCACCATTCGAAGCAGCAAACGGGATGGATTTTTGGAGCTACACCGAGGCAAACCCTGGTCATAGCAAACTCTTTAACGATGCGATGGCTTGCAAAGCTAGACTCACGATCTCGGCGATAATCAAAGGATGTCCAGAAGTGTTCGATGGTGTCCAAAGCTTGGTCGATGCTGGTGGAGGTAATGGGACTGCTATGAGTCTTTTAGTTAAGCAATTCCCACGGATTCGAGGCATCAACTTCGATCTCCCTCATGTTGTCGTTGTTGCACCGAAATTCGGTGGTATCGAAAACGTAGGAGGCGACATGTTCATGTCTATCCCAAATGCCGACGCTGTTTTTTTAATGGTTAGTCACTTTTTACCATTCATTTCAGTAAAGCATAACATGATTAATCTATATATCTTTTTTGTGAATTTTAGTGGATTTTGCATGATTGGGACGATGAAGAATGCATTAAAATCTTAAAGAAATGTCGAGAAGCGATTCCAGAAGATAAAGGGAAGGTCATAATTGTAGAAGCAGTTCTCGAAGAAGAAAATAAAGGCGACGAGCTAGAATACGTAAGGTTGATGTTAGACATGGTGATGATGACTCATACAAACAAAGGGAAAGAGAGGAGTCTAAAGGAATGGAGCTATGTTCTTCAAGAGTCTGGATTTACACGATTTAATGTAAAATCCATCCAAGGATTTGAGTCTGTCATTGAAGTTTATCCTTAGAAAAATCCATGGCTCTCTCTACAATGGTTCATCTTGTTAAACAAATTGTGATGTAGACTTGTAGTTATTGTTTGACTAAGTCCATGTAGACTTATCTGTTGATGTGTTATTAGGATTTCACGAAGAGGAGTTTGAAATGCTTTGCATGAAATTCAAGGAGTTTGTTTCTGATTTTTTTCTCCAGAACGATGACTATTGTAAACAAAATACTTGTTCATAGGGAGAAAATAAATGGTGTGACAGTAATTGGAATGATTATTCGATCGGTGACACCAAAATTTAATTATTTGGTCTGTTCAATTGAAGAGTCCTTGTTTTTGGTTTCTTGTGCCAAAGTGGAAACTCAAAAGTACATGTGGTACTTGGACAACTACTATATGTGTAGAGACAAGTCTTCATTTTTTAAGTGGGATAAAACCTTTCGTAATAGCGTGAAATTTGAGGAAATATCAAAGTTTCTGTAATGGGAAAAAGAAAAGTAACAATCCGAATGAAGAATAATTCTACTCAAACTATCTCTAAAGTTCTCTATGTTTTCGTGGCAATGTCTAAGGAATTGCAGCTTAATTTAAGGTTAAGAAAATGTGCAATCGAAAATATTAAAAAATATCTTAACATTTTTGGTTGAACGCAACCTAAAATATTAATTTTTTAATATCTACTCAACCTAAAATGTTAATTTTTTAACATTTTCAATTGAAACCGGAAATGTTACAAAAAATGTAACATTTCTGGTTGCCAACCGAAAATGTTAAAAAATTTAACATTTTAAGTTACACAAATGTTAAAAAATTAACATTTTAGGTTGCGCTCAACCGAAAATACTATGTTTTTTTAACATTTTCGATTGCGTCCTAACCTTAAATTATAACTACCCATGTTTCAAGTTTAAGAACAAATCCCTAGTAGAAGGGTCAACCAATAAAAAAAGAAAATCCCTAACTTTAGATATCCCCTCCTTAGCAAGCTTATGGGCGTAGTCTTACAAACTCTGAAGATATTGTGAAGGTGTTTATTATTGAAAATATAAAAAAAATATTTAAATTTTTCGAGGGCAACCAAATAAATAAAAATAAAAAATTATTAATTTTAAAATAAAATATTTATTTCACTTAGATTCATTCATTGATGGAATTGTTTAAAATATTCACGTTAGATCATCTTGTATGAATATATTATCTTACATTTACTTCAGATTTATTAAAAAAATCTACCTAAACAATTATTTAAAAAAACTACTTTAATAAAAATTAAGTTAAAAACGACTGTAATAGAAAATTAAAATTAAAACATAATATAAAAAATCTAATTCCAAGGAGCGGGAGATCACAAGTTGCAAAAGGAGCCTTCTGTATGCAATTATTGCTTATTATTATAATTGTCTTCTTTTTATTGAAATGCTAAATTAAATTATTTGTGGTAGGTAGCAAAAAATAAAATATTTAATTTCAATGAAGGAATGACCACAAATAACAAAGGAGTTTTTTTTTTGTAGATAATTATCTGTCGGTAGCGGAAATTATAATTAGGATATATATTGATTTTACCTTTAACTTTAAATTATTTTAATTTTAACATCATATTTTAATTTAACGTTCAATGTTATCGATAACGACATGATGACATAATATTTTTTACATAACTTTAGTTTGTGTGTTTATTTTGTCAATAAACTTTAGTTTATGTATCAATTTGATCTTTGTCAATCAAATTATCCTCGTTGTCAATCTTTTTTCTATTTGAATTGATTTTTCACAAATTTCACTTAAAATTTACGAAACTCTATCTAAATGTTCAACTTTCTAATGATTCAACCTCCTCTAATAATCATCAAATAAGACTAGTTTTGAGGTATATTGTTCGTCTTCTCTAAAGAATGCTTCTCACTATTTAGAGTTACCCTAAAATCTTAGAAAACCCCTAAATCCTCAAAATTAGAGCATTAGAATGTCAAACATTAGTTGGATTTTCATCCATTTTTAATAGGTTTCATGGAAAAATGATGCGAGGAGAAAATAAATTAGTGAAATGCAAATATTCTGACACTAATTATGTCACAAATGACGAACGAAAACAACATCAACAGACTAACAATGAACAAAATTATATGTAAACTAAAGTTTAGTACCTAAAACTTAGAATGAGATTCATAGTTTGGAGATGAAATCAGTATATTCAAAAGTTTAAGGATCAATTTAAAATAAGAGTTATAATTTGAGGACATATGATGCAATTAACTCTATATTTATAAAATTTAACATGAGACCTAGAGTATATTAGAGTCCCTCATTCTCCACCATAGTCAACTCTTTCCTCCTATAAATCAGATCTTATTTCGATAAAATTTTCATCGTCAAGATTATTTATCGATTTTTCAAAAGAGAGAATAGAGATTGAGACGGGAGGAGGGATGTAAACGAGCCGAGTCAAGCTCTAGTATTACCGAGCTCGACTTGACTCGACTTAAAATTCGCGAGTCTAAAATTTTCAAGCTCGACTTTGACCGAGACGATTTCAAGTAGCTCGCGATATGTCTCGTCTCATTATCTCTTTATCTTTGTCCGTCGTTCCTTGGATTTAAAATCCCTAGAAAATAATATCCATAGGTCAATGGGTACGGGGCCGGATCGGTTTAAGCAAAATGATTGGCAGACTGTCTTCCTCCTCACATGCCTCGGCAACTTCTTCTCCTTTGATGTCTCCCTTCATCCTCATCATTTTCATACCAAGAACACACCAAGCAACACACTTTTCACTAAAAAGAAAAATAAATGCAACCAACAAAAATTATACATAAAAACATTAAAAAAACAATTAAATATGCAATAGAATGTATCTAAGTCCAAGCTATAAATCGTATAAACGAGTATGAATTGCACCTCTTTTTATTGAGTTATCAGTAAGTTATTGTTGTGATGGTCCCCATTTGATAAGAGGATGTCCCGAGAAGAATCACTTTGATGCTATTTTCAATAGAGAAGATGAGCCAGAAGTAGAAATAATGAGACTTGGTGCGATTGCGAGTGTTAAAACAATCAAATCAAAGGTAAAGAGAAATAACTGAAGTGCTACTGATGTAAGGGACCACATAAAGATTTTGAGAAATTAGGCCATCATGTCACTTGTGCATTTTAGAAATGACAAATCATCTGATTTTGACGAGTTTTGATTCGATATGATTTTATAAAAAAAAATTAAACTCAAAAGAATTTTTTTAAAGGAAAATTTGAATTAGATTTTAGGAGTGATCGTCTCGATCCACTATCTCAAGATATTTCTATATATATATGGGATATGATTCACTTACACTCGTTGTAAAACTCTTAATTTTATACTTTTTTAGCACTATTGAATAAGAGAAATCAAATATTGAGATTAACTCTTTGTTCCTTTTATTAGTGAATAGCTTCTCTTTTCTTATTATTAATCTCAGTTTTTAATTTCTCTCATCCAACAATCTTAAGAATGTGTATTAAACCTGATATAATTAGATCCTACATATATATATATATATATATTATTTGTATGGTTTTTAAAAACACGTCGTGATCATTGTTTTGTTTTTTTCTGTCTTTTTTCAATTTCAGGGAAAGAAAAACAACTGGGCTCGTTTTTATGTTATTAATATATATTGTCGTGAATCACATGTATTATTTTACGAAGAAAATCAAATCTTTAATATATATATTAAGCGCACGGAATATGTATTGTTTTAATCTATAAATGAAAGTTGCACTCAACACTAAATATTTGTATCAATTTGTCTTAACTTAATCAAAATTTAAAGTTTTAAAATTTTAAAAAATTAATAATATTATATATTTAACGGAAGAATTTTATTATTCCTGTAGTCCTTATATAGTTAGTGAGGAATTGAATTGAATAGAAGCGCAATGAACCAAATAGTGGAATTCTTTTCTCGAACTCATCCATTCAATATTATAATACCTAATGATCGATTCAATATTATTTTACCTATTACTTTTTAAATATATTAATTTTTATTATATATATATATATATGTATGAATAACCTGATGGTTGTGTAAATTATATTCGTAAATAGTGATGAATTGTAACATCCCAAACTATGGGTTAGTGACTAAATTGTAAAATTTTAGAATTTGGTGATTAAAGTGGAAAAGTTGAAAAGTTCAATGATTTATTTGAAAGTATTTCCTAAAAGTTGTTAGTAATTATTAAATGAAGTGAAGGGCAAAATGGTCATTTGACTTGGAAATTAATTAAAAATTAGATTAATAATGATATAAGGATAAGATGAAGGAAATATTTTCTCCAAAACTTCATCTTCTTTCTTCCTTTGTTCTTCTTTAACGTGAAAGCTCAAGCAAAATGTGAGTTTCTTTGTTAGTTAATTATTTGTTGATTTAAAGTTTGGGTTTTGATCATTAGATGATAACTAAGCTTAAGGAAAGCTTAAGTTATCTTAAGATCAAAAGATAAAGAAGTTATGAAGAATTAAAGAGAATGGGTTTTTAAGTGAATTTCCGGAAAAGAGTTGATAAGTTGAATTTGAAACTAAATTTGACTTGTCATCAACTTAATTAAGAGATATGAAGTGATAGAATTGGATTTAAAACATCTTGAAAATTTGGTATGATTATTGATTTCCATATGAAAGATGGAATTTTGAGATTAAAGATGAGATAAATGGATATAAATGAGTTTAAGCATGTATATTTGAATTAAGAATATGAAAGGGGATGAAACATGAAGAATTGAAGTTGGAAATAGTGAATTTTCGTGCATGAACAGTGATTTTCTAGGCAAGGTGTATCGATGCACATTCAAAGTGCATCGATGCATTCTTTAAAGAAGAAACATCGAATGTAATTTGTGCACCGATGCACAGGTAGTGCATCGATGCACCGTTAGGAAATGCATCGATACATTGTAGAGTGCATCGATGCATACCTTCATTAAAAGATGAAAATGTCTTTCATTTTTCCTAGGAGTGATAGTTTAGAATATGTAAATTTGTATAC